CATTCCGAACTTTCTTTTGGCTTGATGATCATCGATGGTTTGTTCGATGTGATTGGAGCTTAGATAATAGACACACTTTTGCACATCTTTACACAGTACCTTACGCTTTTAAGTGTTTCTCTCATTACAATTTGAATCAATCGAAATCGACCTCTGATAATATCGATACTTGGTCATACAATAGTGTGCACAGTCTTTCATATAGTTCCTCATTCTCCCAATCTGCATCCTTTTCTCCTACTCATTTTTGTAATCTTCATCATCTCAGATTATTTGGACCTTGGGACAATCAGATTTGGTCTGTTATTCCCAAACTTGACCGATTGACTTCGATCAATGTGTCACTGTATCACGATTATGCTCAGTGTCAATTTCAAACTTTCCTGGATCATGCATCTCATCTATATTCATTGTACTTCGACTCATTAGCTGATTTAAAAATTGAATCGATCAACATAAGAAGTAAATCAATTCGTCGACTTGTTTTTAAAAAGTATTTCAATAATACACAATGCATTGCATTAAGTCGTTCATCATTGGGACGTCATTGTGAAGTACTTGTAATTAATCTTAACCATCGAGAAAGCATTCTTGAACTTATTAATACGATGACTAATCTTCGAGCATTAACTTGCAAGTGTGCCGATGATATATGGAAACAAATTGTTAACCATTTGACACCTACAAAGGATGAACATGTCGAATGGTTACAACAATGCCTACCATCTACATGCTCGATCTCCAGAGATGAACATACAGGACATATTCGACTATGGATTCATCGATGATTACAAAAGAGTAGCATTGTATACGTAGGGCAGAAGAAAGAAACATGAAGAGTAGGAGTAATATATCTCTCTGACCTATTGAAACATGTCATCTAACAGTTGTCGACAATCAATTTCTTCATCTGATTATTCTTATTTTGTCTCTAACAAGTTCTGTTTAGCTCATTTTCATTAAAGAGTTATTCACTTATGAGCTACTACTTCAGGGTAAATCATTCACCTCTGCTCAACTCTTTCTACAAACGAGGGTGTGGGTGTGATTGTGGGTCTGTATCGATGGGTGGCGGATATTGGTATCGATGCATGGTGGTCGTGGAGCCTGTGTTGATGAATGATGGGTGTGGCTAATGTGAATATGAGTGTGAATGACTGGTCGGCTGATGTAAAAATGCCCATCCAACCATCTAGTACCACAGACACTCATCTGTCAACACATAATACAGCATGTGTTTTTGGAAAGATGATTCGTAAAGTCAGTTTTTATGATGATCCAAAAAAAAAGAAAAATATTCGATTGAGTACTGTTAAATGTAGAATACTTAGGCGCCTCTGAGATCTGCATAATTTCAAATCGTGAAAATGGATTTTCGTAGGTCAAGAAACAGGCTCCTTTGAGAGCTGCAATTTTGAAATTTTTACTGCCTACGCTGGATTGAATATAACAATTTAGGAAAAGATTCTAGAAAAAACTACCGGCAGTATCCTAAGTCACAAAGAAAACAAATGAACATCGTATAATTTTCAAAAATACGAGTAACCACTCTGAGAATCATAGTTATTTAGGCGAATTCTCGACAAAAAATCTTGCTCAATTTGAACGAGTGTTTAGGCGATATAGGTAACTGTGGATGATTTATCGTTGATTTAAATTATGTTTTACAACTTAGTACTTTGTCAGCATACAGATCATGACTAGCTTTTCTCTTCAACTTGCTTCTCGAAATTCCTTAAAGGGACGTGTCTATTGCTCTAGATTTTCATTCAATGTTTTCTTCAGAACTCCTGTCCAAATGATCTACATCTCTACGACTAGAACTCATTTAGAATCGAGAATACTTGGGAAAATACGTCGTTTCACGAAGCAACTGAATTACATCTAGTTAACACTATTATATGAAGTGAACAAGGAAAGACGAGACAGAGTACAAAATCAATTACAATAGCACAAGTAACACAATAAGAACAAAGAGAATGTGAGTGTAGGTGTACGTATTAGTGAAGAGAAGATCCACACTGATGTCCACATTCATTCACACCTTCAGTTTGTTTAACTATTCAATGTTATCAGGTAGTTGATCACGTCTCTGATTGCGAAGTCGTATGCTTTTTTGTTTAAGATATTATGATTTTAAAGTTAAAAAACTAAATTATAAATTTGTTAAAAATAAAATAACGACAAACAACGGATATATATGACGGAAAGTGTATTCATCAAGATAAGAATAAACAAAAGCTGGAGACTATTAATCAATTCTTCTACATTAACTATAGTGTTGTATTGAATATTTATATGTTGGATTAAGTAATCTTACTCTAGTATAAACAAGCGATATGCAAAATTCGAGGAAGTAATATGTTCTTATTGCTTCCCCAAATTTTTTTTTTACGGAAAGCAATGGTTATCCTTTGTAGTGCTGTTGCGCTACGCATGTCAACTTTGATCGAAAAATCAAATTCAGAAAGTCTGAAAAACAACGTATAGCTTTGGATTCCTTAACTCGACAACTTGAGATCTAACCTTTTAATTCAATAAATAGACTTTTCAGGATGCAAACATCAAGGTAGCTGATTTTCTGTATATGTTATCTAACAATTTGACTAGCCCATAATGGTAACTTCCCATTCCTAAGCTAGTCTAGAGTTTCGATAATAAGTAGATTAAATTGAACAAAGCAACTTATTATTGAGCAAACTAATCGAGTTATTTTTTGCTACATCGTGAGAATGTCAAAAATGATTCAAACATTAGTTCTATAGTTTTTTGAGTGATTAAAAATTCGTTTGTGTGACTGTATGATTAGCATATCAAAATCCGACATGTTTTATATATTTGCTCACTCTAATATGTGCAGCATCACTAAAAAACTACTAATTAATTTGAAAAATAATCAATTAGTTTGAGAGATGTCGCTATCATACAAACGTCTTTTAATAATTACGATTAAAATATATGCGAACTCTTGTTGATTTTATATAAAAAAATTTTTCAATACTCAAAATCTAATTTCATTTAAAAGAAAGATCTTAGTTAATGATATCAGTTTTTTATCCAATGATCTCAATTTTCCACGATGGCCATATGACATCCAAGTAAAAATGGATGAAAATAGATTAATGGCTAGTAGTTTCATATGCATATCATTTGTTTATTAACCTATTATTATCAGATTTTTTTTTCATATATATTTTTTAAATTAGATCATAAAATTTCCTCGTCGGAACAATGACGAAGGGTACACAATCATTTGGCAAACGTAATTGTAAGACTCATACATTATGCCGTCGATGTGGTCGTTCATCTTATCATTTGCAACGACAACGTTGTGCTGCATGTGGATTTCCATCACCTAAAACACGTAAATATCAATGGAGTGAAAAAGCTCGTCGACGAAAAACAACAGGCACTGGTCGTATGAGACATTTAAAAGTGGTTTTTCGTCGATTTCGAAATGGTTTTCGTGAAGGAACAATAGCTAAATCACGTAAAGGACAACGACAAGCTGCTGGCACAACAACAACAACTGCACCAGCTACAACAAACAAATAATGAACGAATACAATGGATTGTTTTGTTGTAAACCATTCGGTAAAACTACCACTTATATAAGAAGAAATTAAAATAAAAACAAAAAAAGATCGTTTGTCTAATAGTTTGTTCTTTTATTTTTTTTAACAAATATTTGTGCTTCAATGATTTAAATCTTCTTTTGACTGAAAAATCTCTGTGGATTTAAAATAATTTTCATTTGAATTTCTTCAAATGAGAAGCACATAATACATGTCGACTACTAGTTCTTCGAAAGAAAATCAACTTACTCAGATTTGCTTAAATTCGGTATATAAAAGTATTTTTATTTCGAAAACTTTAATAATACAGTACAACTCAGAAGTCTTGCACTACTTTTTTATTTTCGGTCGTGTATTTAAATTACACAATGCTAATTTAATTTGAGTATATGTCTGTATAGTAGGGATCGAGTACTATATATATAGACCTATTTAATCCTTTGGTAGGCGGTGGTTCGAGCCCATCGGGCTCGGGTCTAGAAATTTTGAGTCAATCGGGTCCGGGTCCAGAGATTTTTGGACCTGATCGGCTCTTCCCACAAAAGATTAATTAATCAGATTCGAATCCAAAATTTATTTTCATAAGACGTGGACAGAACTTAAATCAATTTACTAATAAACGACTATGCACCCAAAGCTTGATCATTGTAGTCCTTGGTATAAGTTGAAAGTGTATGTGGAAAATTTTTTTATTTACAATTTTGTAAAGCTTTTCATGGGCTGTAAGCTCATATATTGAATATCTCCTATCATCCTTTCCTTGATTAGAAAAAAATGTAATTTGTCAATGATTTCTCATAATTGATCGTTAATGGTGAGTGTCCCTGTCGACCCGGATGCCAAACTTTTTCAGAAATTACCCACGACGTAATACTACAAAATACATTATTTGGACGTTCGAGTGTAAGTGTGCTTGAAAGAAAGATCCAGCACCCTTTCAATTCTGAATAGGTAACCTAATCCAACAGGATCCTTCCTGACAAGAATATCTTTTTTTTTTCTTAGCATTGAAGTTTATTTTTTTCTTTATTGTATTTCAGGTGTATTGTAGTCAAATGAATACTTTTGAGTTTTTTATTTTTAAAGTATGCATTATTTTTTTCTGATAGCAATACTATCCATGATTTAATAATGTTAGAAAAGTTTTTTTTTTATAAAAATACGCAACAAGGATGAATATCTTATAGTCTCGTTCGTATGATAAAGAAATGATTAATAAAATAATTCATTGACGTTCTGAGTTGCGTTATTTTTTATTTTAAATTGACTTCTCATTAATATAAATTTTTCATCAAGAGAGAAAATATTTCTCTCAGGCCATTATTTTCATTATTTTATTTAATAATCATTGAAGCCAAAATTTCTTTGACCTAGGTTCGATCATTTAATTTAATCATTTTTAACTATTTAACTAAAATTTTTTAGATGGATAACGTTATTAATTCATTAAAAAGTACTGCATTAAGTATTGGTGAAATTATGACACCTGTACTTACACAATCAAAATTTCGTGAAACAGGTGTTATAACACCTGTAGAATTTGTAGCTGCTGGTGATTTTCTTGTTCATCATTGTCCAACATGGAAATGGGCAACAGGTGATGAAAGTAAAATAAAAAATTATTTACCAAAAGAAAAACAATTTTTAATAACACGTAATGTTCCTTGTTATAAACGATGTAAACAAATGGAACATAAAGATAATTTGGAAAAAATTGTTGATGATGAAAATGGTGATGGTGGTTGGGTTGATACACATCATTATGCTGATAGTACGTTAACAGAAGTACGAGAACATGCTGGACAAATTGAATCAAGTGGTAAACAAACACAAGTAACTGTTGAAGATGATGATGATGATGAAGATGATGATGATGCTGCTGATATGGAAGAATTTGAACGTACAGGAATGGTTAATAATGATCCATTAGAAGCATCGAGTAAATTTTTATTTTTTATTTTTATAAAGATTATAATTTATTCAATATAAATAAAACGATTTGAATCTTAATTTCTTTTTCAGCAACTACAAAACCTTCTGCAAGTACATTAAAAACTGATGAAAATACTGGGCCGAATACATTGGCAACTCGTACATATGAGTAAGTTTGAGTTTTCAATTATTTTATGAAACACGATCTACAAGGAGTATTGAATCTATAGGAGTAAAAATTTCAACCTCCCATAGACGCTTGTCAGAGCAGAGCTATAATAATTTTTAAAAAATCAAATATTCTTCAATTAAAGAAATGCAACAGTGTGGACGAACAGAAGAAAATAAGATTGATAGTTCTTGAAATAACACTGGTTGATTATTTTGATAAGAACAAGCAAATTTGCTCTTAACATGTTTTATCAGAGAAAAAAATGGCTCATCTATAAAATATTCTCCAACCGGTGAAGAACGACCGGATCGAACCGGTTACAGCTCCGAGTTGGAAACCATGACAGACATCTTATCAACAATCTTCCTTCCCGTCACAGACTGTATATTAATAACGTTTGGTTATCATCTCTCTGTGATTAACAAGAGTAGCTACATTATGTTTTACATTTTAATCCCGCCGGGATTACACTAACAAGATTTTTTTAAAATATGTTTTCTTCTATTAGTCTTAATATAACTTATGACAAATATTATCAAACACCACGTCTTTGGTTAAATGGTTATGATGAACATCATAAACCTTTATCAGTTGAAAAAATGTATGAAGATATTAGTCAAGATCATGCAAAAAAGACCGTAACAATGGAACAACATCCACATTTACCTGGAACAGGACCTATGCCTAGTATACATCCATGTCGTCATGCTGATGTAATGAAAAAACTTATTCAAATGGTAGCAGAATCAGGCAAAGAACTTGAAGTTCATATGTATATTATGATTTTTCTTAAATTTGTACAAGCAGTCATTCCAACTATTGATTATGATTATACACGTCAGTTTAATTTATAAAAAAAAGTCAACTTCTGAAACAGTAAAATAATCAATTATCTACTTTGGTGTTTGTTCGATTTAGCGATGATTTCTTTTTTGTTTTTACTTGATGTTTTTTTGTTGATAAACCAGACACTAAAAAAACCGTTCATTGATTGTTTTTTTTTTTTTTCGTTCTTATTCTATTTTATTCAATAAAGTCCTGTATAGTCAAAGTATTTCGGCATGTATCTTCTTGCGTGATGTAAAGATGAAAAATACAACCTATGGAGATTATTATCGACCTAGTGTCCGTTATGAATAGACGAAAAAAAAAAAATTGAAGATATGGTAACAGAACATAACGTTCGTTTTTTTTTCATTTCATTCGGACAAGTTTGTACTTTCGTTTATTGTATAACCGACATGTTCATCGTATTATTCGTTCTTTGTATACAATTATCAATACAAACTGAAATTGAATATAAGCATTTAGGTAGATTAAAACATTGGATTAAAATATTTCTTTAGGATACAATTCATATTTTATTAAATAGGTCGACCATGTCATATTAATCATTGTGATAATGAACATGTTTGTATACGTCGAAACGATGTTGCTTTTCAATATCGTTGTATACCAAAAAGTTATTTTAAACAACAGTAAGATTAGAAATTAAATATGTTTGAAATTCATTTAAAAAGAAAATAAAAATTAAACATCATTTCATTACAATCAAATTAAAATGCATTAGAAAACATGATTTAAGAGTATAATCGGATACTTCCATGACTGGTTAAATCATAATAACCAACGATTCTCAAATAATCTTTTCGTCTATCAGACTTTATAGTGTTAATTATTTTATTAAAAAAAAATTTTTGATCCGATAAATAAATGATGCTACCAGAGTCAGAGTATACTGGCAAATCGTATGTAGATATTTCGCTGGAGCTATAAAAGTTTTTAGTATTATTTCGACTCTTGCACCGTCATTTATTTGTCAAATGAAAATTTTATTTTTACTAAAATGATTAGCACTACAAAGTCTGATAGATGAAATAGATTTTCTGAGAATCTGTGTCTGACTACTCACTGTACACTGTAGTGTGATCCATGAGTTGGTCACATCACTGAAAATGTATTAAAAGAAAAATTTTTTCAATTTAAAAAATAATGAGATCATGTTTTTTATGATCAACATTGTATTGATTTGCATAGAGAATGAAGTACAAATAAATTTGTACTATAAAATCTATATCATTAAAATTATATTTTATTTAGACAAATAAAACTAATTCTAATAGAATTATTTAGATTGTTTTAAATAGAAGAAAAAAATTCAAATCTATCTAATCATTAAAAATAATCTTAATATATTTTCTAGTCCAGACAAAATTACTGAATGGAATTTAAATCCATCATTAATCGATGAAATATTTGATGCTACAAAATGTCAATCATGTTTAAGTAAACCATTGACATACGTTTGGTACATAGAAAAATAGTCTATTTTCATTATATATATTTATTTATTTAATTTTGACGTCTTTTTCTTTAGTGGAACTGATGGACGTGTTTATCGATCACCTTGTTTTGTCAAATATTTTAATTGTCTATTAGATACAGATATACAAATTGCATGTAATAAAGAATGTCCATGCAATGATACAAGTAGAAGTCAAATATTTGTAATAATAATTTTAAAAATATTCATTTTAATAGGTTTAGATGAAGAAAATTTCGAATGGATGGTATGTATGATAGGTTTTGCTTTCGTCTTGTTTGAATTAATTATAAATGTTATGTTATATAGGATTTCAGTGTTAAAGAAAATGTCATTAGGTAGAAGATATTTTATGAATAATATTAAATGTATTTTTTGACTATTTTTTTTTTGTCTAGTGATCCATTAGCTGATGATAGTCCTGATGATCCAAGAGGACGTAAGAATAATGGATTTGTTTTTTTTTCTGACCACGGCTAGAACTGTAAAGATTAGGAAAAGGCAATGTAAGAGAATAATCAACTGATTATTATTAGAATATTTCATCGTTAGCAAATCATACGTTGGATTTTATTGATATGGATATATAGAAAATAACATTGTTTGTTGTTCATAATTGCAAATCAAAATCATTTTTGTTATTCATTTAGAATTTGATCAATGTCCACGATCAGTTCATCGTGAAGTACGTAATCGATTTTTTGATTGGTTTCATCAAATCGAAAAACTTGAACATAAAAGTCAATATTATGGTAAAATGTTTTTTGATGAAGAATAAAAAATTCATTTCTTATTTACTTTTCAAATTCTTAAGGTTCTATTGATAATTGTCATCCAATTGTTTCATATATGTTTTATCATTTTGATATAACAAATGATTCTCAATTAAACGATGATGAATTAAATAGTATTGAACATTTAAAAGATGAATTATGTACGGATAGATTTTTTCAACGATGTGATCATGATGATGATCATCGATTATTTTCATATGAATGGTGTAATTGTTTTCAATATGCTCGTAAGTTTTCAAATGAAAGTTAATGAATTTTATTTTATTTTATTTTTATATAATGTTTTGCTTAAATATTTTATTTTTAGTTTTACCTTGTGAATTACATAATCATGATTTGGATAAAACATTTTGGAATAAATCAATAGAAAGTATATTTCGACCACGATGTAATTCAAATGGATATTATGCAGCAAGACAATGTAATACAGATACACCACGACAATGTTGGTGTGTTGATAAACATGGAATTGAAGTTAATGGAACACGACAAGATGATGATCATATGCCACAATGTGGTATGTGAAAGAGAATATTTCATTAAATTATAATTTATTTTATATTTTAGATGAAATTGAAGATTCAAGAATAGAGCAAATAATATAATTTGAAAAAGTTTTGTAATGTGCCACTAACGCAAAAATCGAGTACAAATTAAAATTCACCGAACTATATATCAATCGATAGAGCTTTCGAAGCTGGTTAATAATA